GTGGGTTAGTGTTTGTGTTTGTGTGTGTAATCGTTTTATGGATTGAGCTATCTATGGACCCAATTTTCAATTTACAAGATCCATAAAGTAAGTAAACTTTCATCCCTTGAGACTTAAACATATTTATCTCCTGAGATGTGAGTGACATTTTTGGTAGCTAATTCAGTAAAAGTTTACTGACTGGATGACATGACTATGGCATAATATGAATTAAAGTTCCCAGAATTAGCTCAGTTTGCTCCAGATTTGGTAGCTAATGAAACAAAGAGAGCCAGAAGGTTTGTATGGGGATTGCGATCATCTATTTGCGAGCAACTACCACTTTAGAGGTCAAAAACTTTGCTCAAATGGAGAAAACCCGGTTTTTGGTGTTGAAAGGTAACAACAAGAAATACAGCTCAAAGTATAAAAACACACCTTCCATAATTACCAATAAATCTTCTATGAATTCTGAGAAAAGTAACAATGTAGCAAAAACTTTGCTCAAATGGAGAAAACCAGGTTTTTGGTGTTGAAAGGTAACAACAAGAAATACAGCTCAAAGTATAAAAACACACCTTCCATAATTACTAATAAATTTTCTATGAATTCTGAGAAAAGTAACAATGTAGCCTCTTCATTTGAGAATTCATTTTTTGTAGTAAGTATCTAGTTCTTATACTTTCTTCTTATTTATATTAAAATTCAATTCTTGCAGTCAAAGAAATGGTGGCAAAATAAACTCAAAGTTCTTTCACTCAGAAGGTTCCTCATGATTTTAGTTGAATATCTGCTTTGTTCGCAAACACTTTGATAAAATAAATAATAAAAAAACTGGAAAACATGAAAGTATATGAGGGAAGAGCTTAGCATACACACCTCTACAATGAGCTGCACATTTGCATAGTTATTATTGTTAGTTCCACCAGGAACCTCCAAAAACTGATCAGCAATTCTAATGTGTTCTGCGTTGATTCTCATGTCCTCTGGTGTGGCCATGGCTACCAATAAAACAGCCTTCTCTGTGCCAAATGTTTCATAGGCCCATGTCCTCACACTACGTATGAACTTCACAGCTGCCATTCCATTGTTTGCAATTAAAATGCTATGGATTGGCTTCTTCCCACCAAGGGCATAGCAGAACTCATCAACATCAGATGCTGTAGCAGGGTGCCTGAGTGGTACTACCCCATTTACATACCCATTTCCACGAGGAAAACTAGGTGTTGTCACCAATCTCCTTTGAGCTTCTGACATGCTGCAGAGCAAGAAACAATGTCCTCAACAAGGTAAATGAAATTTTAGGGAACAAATGTACTGGAACTAATTCAATAAAGCTTGTAATTCTGAAATGGCCCTTTCTTCATTGGCTCTTTTATTTCATACAAGTTAAACCAAATGCATGATCCTTTTATTTCATACAATGTCATCAACGGGTTGCTGTGGTGTAGTGGTTATCACGTTAGTCTTACACCAAATGCATGATCCTAAGCGCAAGATAATAGCAAATATGAACATCTACCTGGTTATACTAAGGCTGCGTTTGGTTACATGGAAGTGAAGTTGATGCTTATATCTGATTCATGCCATCATTATTCATGAACTCTCATTTTCTCTGTAATCTTGTTTCAAATGTAACAAAATCTCAACACTGAATCAATGTTACACTAATTGAAACTTTGAATTCCAGTTCAGGCAACTAGACACAGCCTAAGGATATAGTTGTCAGGTTACAGAGAAGGGGAAAAAAAAAAGAGAATGAACCTTTGTTAAACCATAGACTCCAGAAAACTGCAGAATAGATTCCCAAATCCACAGCAAACACAGCCTTACTGATAAAAGTGCAACCAACCCACAAAAATACAATCTTTGAAAGTTTCAAAACCAATTCCAACTATACTCAAACTACTTCCCAACAACAAATGTCCAAAACAAGCAATACCCGAGCCACCAAAACGTTATTCAAACAGAAGTGCCCACAAGACAATTACTTTAAAGGGTTTAAAGTAAATGACTCACATACCTTAATGAGGAAGAGAAAGAGGAGCTGAAATCTTGATCGAACTGCTCAAATTGCTATCTGGGTACAAAGCATTATGAATCAAGAGGCAGAGTTGTGTGAGAAAACAGAAACCCAGAAATGCGTTATGTGGTTGAATTCAATTCAGTGTGTTGTGTTTGTATGTGAATGTGATCATGTGATCATTGGCACAGAGACACATACACAAAGTGCTACACAAAACCAACCTTGGGAACCTATTTAAGTGTTTGAAGGAATTGCAGAGAGGTAGGTGTGTGGGTTTGTGGGTTTGGGTTTTGTGAGCTGTTGCTGTATGTATCTATTTGCATTCTAACGGCTTTAATAAGAGCTGCACGTGGTACCTGCCAATTCCACACCCTCTTCCTTTGTTAGCAGCAACTCCCAGCTACCCCCTCTGTTTTTCGTCTCTCTCTCTCTCTCGTCTCTTGAACTAATTTATGATCAAGGCCTCAAGGTGGGTCTCGTTTCTATTCTCAAAGCAGTCAAATGATTTCCCCCCCTCTCTCTTTCTTCTTGCGTGTGAATTTTTTTTCTTTAAATCCCCATTTGGATTTTGGGTTCAACCAAATTTCGATTCTTTTTTATGGGTTTAGGCCACTAAATACAAAACCAGACATTACATCACGGTTCATGAATGAAGGAATTAATTTTTGGCGTTGGCGTGTCTTGACTGTGAGTTGAGTTGGGTGGTGCAGTCTACCAACCCTTCACCCTTCCTTTATTTTCGATGAATCAGTCTGTCCGATATAAATGCCAATACTCCAAGTTTTTATCATAATCTGTTCTCAATATAAATTTATATATAATATGTTTTCTCACACACAGTTCTAAGAGTACACAAAAATCAAGAATATATTTTCCAAAAGAAATGTACATAAGCATAGATTTACAACCAAAGAAAGAATACTTATGTGTAGGTGAAAGATTGATATTAATTTTGGATGGTGGTGTTTGGGTTGTGGTTGGAGGTTAGGTCTATCCATGCTATACTTACCTCCCTATCTATCTTCGTTTCCCTAAATTTAATAAAATTGGAAAAATATAAAAGTCATGGAAGAGAGTCACTTTCACATCATGAATATGATGTTTTCATAATTCAACTATCTTTGGTATTGAATAATCATGGCTTAGATTGGATGATGAAAAGGAATTAGGGGGTCTTTTGAACTAGGGCAAAGAAAGTTGATTGATGAAATGATTCAGAATAAAGTAAGTTACAATTAATTTTGATTTGATCAATTGGTTCACATTTTGTTATAGTTTTTTTCTTCTTTTGAACTATATTTAGTTAGGAAAAGTATCGTTTTTTTAATCTTAGGTTGCAAAGCTTCAAGTTTTTAATAATCGTATATGTGTTATAATATAGATAAAATCATAACATATTATAAACATGTCACGGAAGATTACAATTACAGAAAACAATTTTCTCAACTTTTCCTATTCTACTAATATTCAAAATAATATGATTATGATATGATACCCTTTTCTCTCCCCAACTCAAATTCAAAACCCAAATCTTTCCCCAACTTAACATGCATTAAAACCCAACATATATAAATTTGTACAAACTGAATTTATGGCCACATATATATATATATATAAACGTGGAAGACAATTATTTTGGTTACTGAACGACCACGTGTTCCAAGGGTTTGAAGAACCGTGTACCTAAGTATATCTCAATTAGCTTTGATCATTTTCTCATACTTAACTTGTGAAGCCTCAAATTTTAGCTAAATATGCTTCCAGGTCAAACCCCACGTACCCACGCTTCAACCTAACTCCATACCTACTCAAGATGTTGTTTGCTTTAATTTTCTTTTATTCCTTTTGGTTAGAGAATTGAAGGACGCAGCCGCCCGTCCCTTTAAGTCCATGATATTGTGGTTTTTATTTTTTATTTTTAAGAACTTGGGGTCCCAACTTCCAGTCACTCCTATTAGTAACTTCAATCTGTCTGAAAGTGATTGATCATTTTATTCGAGGTTTGTTCGATTGTGAATAGTTGATTGATATGAAAATCAAATAATTTATCGGTTTGTTATTACTTGATCAAAAGTTGACTCCGTTATTTTTATTTATTATTATTATGTGTCCATTGAATCTCTCAAATTTTATTTGCAACACATGTTTGATGATTTTATCTTAAAAATAAGTGATCGATGGTCTCACGCATATTGTGGGCTTGGGAGATGGGGGTTGGGAGATAGAGCTTTAATTTTTGAGGCGTAGTTAATGGTTTTTTGGTCTTTTATATTTATTTTGAGTGGACACCTTTTGGTCAAATGCATTTTGTTTTCCAACATGTCGATAACTCCTCCTTCGTACTAATTATATTTTGATATATATATATACAAAAATAATTCATAAAAAATACAAAAGAAAAACTTTTTGCACAAATATCATATTGTTATTGGCATAAATGTAAGAGCTTCTACTTAAATGGTAAGAATGGAAGTATTTTCCTTTGCAATATTGCTCTTTGTGTTAGGGGAGAGTCCCGAACCATGAAAAAGTTCCTCATTGCACGTTTGTAACCAAAATAAAATAAAAATCACAGCACCTTACTTTGACATTACCAACAAACAAGACTAGCCTTTCTTCGATTTTGATCATCAAATGGCCTTGTTGTGTGAATGTCAATTATAGTGGAATTTCATGGTTTAATCTTAGGTTTTTAAATTCTTTTTTAAAAAAATGGTTAGTTTTCTAGCAAACGGCTATATAGAGAAATCATAAAAAAGTTTAAGATAACTTGTAATTAAGTGGGATGTTTACTTATGAGGAATGAGATTGATCCAATTCCTTACTTCCTCTGTTGTGATCATTGTTGCTACATACAACAATTATGATAGAGCTTATCTCAAGAAAAAGGATGGAGGCCAATTCATCCATGCAAAAAGGAAAAAAGAAATTATTAGAAATCAAAACCTACTTAACCCAAGTTAAACAAATCCAGTTAAATACAATCATACTAAAATTAGTAGCCATGTTCGACCAAAAAAAAAAGGAAAAAAGATTAGCCATGAGGATAGAAACAAAAAGAAACAAACTATGAACAACCTTCTGCCTAAAATGAAACAGAGTAGAATGAAGCATAAAGCATACTAAGAATAAGCACAAGTGAGGCAGATGTAGAATAAGTTCCGGAGTTCGGAGACCGCGTTGGAGCTGTGACAACGGAGGAGGAGGGTGCTGGAACTACATCGTCGGAACTTGCCGGTGCCCTCTTTGGAGGGCTCTTTGGTGATGATTTTGGAGTTGGGCTCACTGCAATTTAAAAATTTTAAAAAAAACAAATTGTGATCGAGATTTTACAAAACATTTGGAGGAATGGTCATGTTAGATTTTTGTACATATTATGCTGTTCAATGGTACGATAAAAGAGAATATATAATCGTAGTTTTTTTGTCTTTTAATCAGACAATCATAGTTCTTTAAAAGTACAATCGCAACTTTTAAAAGAAAGTAACATAACATTCGTTATTTTTTATTTTTGAAAAAGGAATATTAGGATATTGAAAAGAGAAGTATCATTGAACTAGTAGTCATATGATCATTTTTGTTTTCTTTTTTGTATTTTTCCGGATGAAAACAGTTTGATCCTTTGTTTTTTGTTTTACCTGAAAAGGGAAGAGCATTATATTTGCATAACAAACCCAAAAAAAGAGAAAGAAGATAATGAGAATGCATAAAATCAAAACAAAATTATTTAATATAGTCATTCTGTTTTCTTGTTGACGTCTATCATTTCTAATTAAAACGTACCAGAAACACCAGGAAGCAAGGGAACTGCAAAACAAATAAGAGGGAAAACATTCAAATTTGTTATTATATCATCAAAAAAAAGAAATCAATAACATGTGCAAAACTATGTAGTGAGAAAGATCAAAAACTCACTGCCACATTGACTAAAAGAATTAGGAGCAGAGATGCCACAAGCAGCAGGCAAAGTCATAGCCTTAGTCATATTCAAAGGTATGCCTAAATCAGTGCAGCTCTCTATGGCTTCACATATGCAGTCATCGCTAGCTTTCAGCACCATCTCCAGCCCTGGGCAGCACGAGCCATCTGGCCTCATGTCTTTAGAACCGTCGGTCATAAACGGCACGCAATCCGCCATGCCGAATATGATGTCCGAGCACTCATCCGTGCCCGGAGGTGTGCCTGATGAAGAAGAGGAGGATGTGCTTGATGACATCGCCATGACCATTTGCAGCTCTCTATGGCTTCACATATGCAGTCATCGCTAGCTTTCAGCACCATCTCCAGCCCTGGGCAGCACGAGCCATCTGGCCTCATGTCTTTAGAACCGTCGGTCATAAACGGCACGCAATCCGCCATGCCGAATATGATGTCCGAGCACTCATCCGTGCCCGGAGGTGTGCCTGATGAAGAAGAGGAGGATGTGCTTGATGACATTGCCATGACCATTGATGATGGTGCATGGGCAGATGGATCTACGACTCGTGCACAGCTCGCCAACGCAAGACATGTGGTTAGAATGCATGAAACAAAGACGAGCCTCTCCATTATTTTTCTCGAGAAGAAGAAGGGAGAGAGAGAGTCTATAGCTACAACAAATGCTGAGAGTCTAGCATTCCATTTCTCTCTTTTTTTATATTTTGTTTTTCGGTTTTGAATAAGTTATGGTGATAAAAGTTGTTTTGAAGTTTAAATTCCCTAAAATCGCTCGGGCAGTGTTTGAATTCCACTCAAAATGGGAGATCAGTTTGAACCATCCTAACTATCTTATATTGTTTATAGCTAGCTATCTTCTCAAGGTGAAACTCTCTTGAAAAAACAAAAACAAAGAAAAAGAAGAAAAGAGCAGCCCAGCTGCCCAAACCCGCAAGAAATGGAGATGAAATCTCAGTGGCCTGTTTTATTTGGGCTTGTAGCATCAATCTCTCTCATCTCCTTTGAATGGTATGTACCATACAAGAGACGAGTTTTTAGGGTTTGGGCTGTGATGTCCACGCAACCTTTGATGTTTTGAATTGCCTAAATTCGAGGTTGGCCTCAAATATCAATATTGGTGTGTATCAAAGAAATGCATAATAAATAAACAAATGGAAAATTGAAATTTAATCCCAGCATAGTAATTGGTAGATTTTGTCAAACAATTTTCACTTTCAACATCTAGTATTGTAATAATGGTAAGAGGCTTGTAGCTCAAGTAGTTAAAAGTATTATGTATTCATGCATCCAAGGTCCTAGGTTCGATTCCCCATTCTCAATATCGCTTGTAAAAAAAACATATATAGTCTTTTAATGGAGTGATAGATGTCTTTCTAGTCTATATGGACCATATACAATCATGAAAAGCCCTACTTTTTTTTACTTTGTTTTTGGATTGTGGACAATATGCTGATCATGGAGGACCAACCAATTTTTGTTGCTCATCTGTACACCTTATGGCTGGGTTTGCTCAATGAAGCATGGGCCTTAACATTAATTTCATAAACTTGTGTGGTTGGGACCCCAGATTATTGTTTGAACCAATCACACCAAGCCAATAATTCTCCAACCACCCACCCCCTTGTTCCCAACCCTACTTCCAAGACTTGTCACTTTCTTGGCCTCAATGCATTGTTCATTGCCAACCCAGAAATAGATGGTCTCACTGCAAAATTGCCATCCTCCTACTGATAGAGACCCAACATTCCCTTACGGCTTCTCACCTTTTACCAAATTTGATGCACCAAAACAGTTGTTTACAGGATATTATCTATTGCTTCACCGATTTGATACGAATATTTAAGGTAAACTGTTGGACATAAAATCACTTGCACTGTACATATCAGGTAAATCTGAATGCTTTTACGAGTTTAGACTTAGAATGTCTGAGTTTACAGTTCATCTTTTTATCAACCAACCATCCATGCGGATTTGTAAGAAAAGATTTGGCGTATGATTAAAAAGTTATGTTACATGTACGGTTTCGTGGTTTCATCCAGATTTTTCTCCTAATAAAAGCTGATAATTATGAAGAAAGAGAAAATTGATTCATCCCAAGAAACTATAATCAAAATGAGAAGTGGAAAATGGAGAGAACTCTTCAAATTTCTGAAAGTCCATGCCCCCATGGGAAGTTGCTGTCCACAAAGTGGGCCGCACCCAAACAAATAGTAGGAAGCCCTAAATCCAAAAGCATTAATAGAAAACCGTGGTTGACGTTGATCATCGACCAACTCTTGCAACTGGGGTGCTTACGTGTAAAGCCATTAATGGTTGCTTGCGACTCTCAAGGCCCCATGGCCCATGGGGTCCTCTGCCATAACATGTCCTTTTCACGCCCATTCTTAGAGCAATAATGACAAATCATTTGGGTGGAAAATTTACATTGATCTTCATTATTCCAACAATCAGCAATTTGCTGTTTTTACCAAATTTTTCTGTGGTAAAAAATTAATTTCCTGATTTTGAATTATATAATAATGCAAAATAAAGGAGCACAAGGAGGGTACACTACTATGGAAGATAAACAGTGGTGGATTCAGGATTTGAAAATCGGCAGCGAAACTTACATATTAAATTTGACGATACAAGTGAATTTCATTAATAAACACTAGCCTCTCTGCACGCGCTTCCGCGCCTGCGAGAGGCCTTTTTTTTAAAATTAAAATTTTATTTTAGAATTACAAAAGATAATGGGTAGTTGTGTTCCATTAAAATAGGATCAATTATCTGATTTTTCTTTTATTTTTAATTTTTTATAATATGAAAAAGTGTGAATTTACCATATTATCCTCATTTAATTAATAATTTCAATTCTTAATGTTTGCATTAACCAAGGGCATTTTCTGGTATTTTGAATGTTTCACCATTCTCTGCCTTTTGCTTTATATATATAGATAAAAAGATAACGTAATGACTGTTACCCTTAAATGCATCTCTATACATAAATAAAAACTTAACAAAAACCACAAGTAAATGTAATGCAATACAAAACAACAATATTTAAATCTAAAAAGTTACCATACGAGAAGCTTAGAAATTTTAAATTCTTCAACAAAGTCGATTGAAGGAAGTTGAAATTCTACAACAAAGTCAGTTAGTAATAGGGGGAGTAGCACAACTCCTTATAAGTCTATTTTTAGGTCCCTTATCTGCGAGACATTTGTTAACATTATCACACTACAAAGCCATGTTGAAGGATAACAACTGGAGCCAAATTCTTGTGTACATGGGCCAAAAGATGACGATTATCATGACAATAACAATGTTTCATAGCAATTGCTTCTGCACCACAAAACAAAATAACAATTCAAAATAAAGAGGAAAAGGGAGGGAAGGAGAGGAGAGAGGAGGGGGAAGGAGAGAGATGATAGGGTTCCTTTTCTTAGGGTTTTCTCAAAGAAGTCTTTTCTTTTTGCTTGTCACATTTTACCACCACCTTCCAACATGATGTTATTAATATAAGTGAAAATGACATAGTTTTATGGACTTATGGTATAGCATTAATACATCAATACACATGTTATTTATTTATTTATTTATTAAAATAAGTGATAGTATATTATTGATGAACAAACAAAAGTACAAAGTAACTATGTGCCGGATATGGGTAATTCTTCTTTAGTGACCAAACACAACAACATGTTGAATTGATCTGGAGAGAATCACGCATAACCCAAACAATGACTAAATCCCCGATCCAGCAACCAAAGGCACATGTACTCAAACCTACAATACAAATCCGCTGAGCAACGGTATGGCAAATCCGTATCGAAAGTCAAAAGCTAAAAAGAAATAAAAATCCTAAATAGAAAACAAATCACAGAACTACTAAAGAGTTTCTGAAAATTATTAGTCTAAAACAAAACTAAGAAACACAACCACCGCTCAACATTTTCTGGGCAACCCGAAGAAAATCATAGCGTCATACCGGCTAAACCCATAGTCCTGCTCTTGCTAAACCCGAACCCAATGCAACCAGACATCTTCCCTTCTTTAGAGCTCCAAACTATGTCGAAGGGAGCAACTCCTTGTGTACGTAGGCCAAAATACAATGACTATATCATGCATGACAACATCGTTTCACGGCGACTGCTTCCACATCACAAAATAAACTAACAATCTAGAGGGAAAAGGGAGGGAATGAGAAGGGAGGAGTTTGGGAAGGAGGCCGCCAAACCCCAAAGGGGTGGTAACTAAGACTTTTTTCTTTAGGGTTTTCTCAGAGAGTGTTTAGGTTTTTTCTGATCTTTTTTTCTATATATTACACGTGTTATAATATAAGTAGATTAATTACACCACATGCCAGTGTCACTGTCACAACAAAAACTTCTCCAGTTGGAACACCACCCACCTAATATCTTTTTAATTGAAGACTACGATGTAATCAAACACATTAATTAAGTAGATTGATGCTAATGTCGAATTATTTAAAGACACAGAGATGCAGACACATGCCCACTTGCACAAATGGCCTTAAATTATTATTATGCTTCAACATTTGGACTGTGGTGCTGTTTGATGCAAGAAATTGAGAACAAAGTAACTTTCACTAAACTTGTTCCAAAAGTATATATATAGTTTGTTCCAAAACTTGTTCAATGCGTGCCTCTGGTTTCCTGTTTCTCGGCAAAGAAAAGTTATTGGCGTTGGGCTTTGAAAGCAAAACGAAGAACCCTATTCTATTTTTCAATTGAACATTCTAAATAAAAGTTATGATACTTACACGTGACAATATTCCATTCTTTCATAACATAGATAGAGATACTACATTTTCATTTGTACACACCATCTAGTCAACAAAATTTGGAAAGTCTAGTCAAAAGTTCGGAAATTGATTTCTAAGAGGCTTAATCAACACGGGTGGTTTAGTAATAAAATGGCGAATATATATAGGATGAATTGTAAACAAATTTGAAGTACGAAATGAAACTTCACGTATACAAAAATATTTGAATTTACCTGATATGTGTGTTTTACGAGTGATTATGCCTACTAGGCACAACTTGCCATAAGAAACTAAAACCTCCATTATTACAAATGTTACTTTCTTTTTGAAAGATCATCAAGTAGGTCAGGGAGGTGTCGACAGATTACAATATTGCCACTCTGTGTGTTTATTTATTTTAATTGCTTACGCTTTTGTTTTTCAAGATTGGTCATGTGAAGAAGCACACAGAAACACACATTTGGGAAGCAAATAATATAATGTAATTATGAAAGTACAGGTATGTATACTTGCATGCCGCACATACTTGAAGAGTGAGAAGCAATTGTTTTATGTGTACAAGCAAAGAGAGAGAGAGAGCATTAAAATATCTCCAAAACGCATTTGATATTATTCGATCCCAATAGTTCTGTCCCCCATTTAGCCAATTTGAGGGCCATTGACCCTTCAAAAGAAATATAGTAATATCTTCTTCAGCTGTCCTAGATCTTATATAAAAACATTGTTCAGTAATAATTTATTTTATTTTGGGGTACACCTATGCATCTTTGTGCATCTTATAATTGGTGCCCTAGCTTTATAGTACGTACACAAAGTATATATTAACTTCTTTGGAGTTTACCATTTGACTGAATCTAAACTTCTTTGGATATAAAATAAGTTCATTCGAGTAGCAAGAAACTTCTTTGGAGAATGGAAGTTTTGCAGTATGCTTAAAAATCTTGTACCCTCGTCATCGGTTGTCAATTGATTTTGAGTTCGATATTCACATTTTACGTGTCATGTATATGATATTTCAGTAATAATTTATTTTATTTTGGGGTACACCTATGCATCTTTGTGCATCTTATAATTGGTGCCCTAGCTTTATAGTACGTACACAAAGTATATATTAACTTCTTTGGAGTTTACCATTTGACTGAAT